ACATGATGTATGCGGCCTTGCCTTATCATGAAGAAAGAGAACACCTTTACTAAGCTTCCGTCTTCATGTAATTCGTCCATTTTTGAACTCGTTAACCCATTTATAAATGTTTTTTTGAGACAAACAAGACTCACCATAGATATTTTTCATTCTTTGGCATATTTGAGATGTTTGAATACCTTCTGCATTCAAGAAACGAATAACTGCACGTTGTTCAAGCGTGGTGCAATCCTTCAAGGGAGCTTCCATTTTAGTTTATTTATAAGTCTCGCGCCGCGCGTGGAAAAAAAGAACAGAACACCTTAAATAGTCTCTCGATGTTATATTTTAATATTCTGTGGTTTAAATTATTTTTGCTTTTTTAATTTTTAATAAATAAGATATTTCACCTTATTTATTGATACCCCCTTGTATGTACACTGTGTGACAAGGAAATTACTGAAGAACTCCCCCATTACCTGCTTAATTGTACAGCCCTTGATGCTGAAAGGAAGGCCCTATATCAACAAATTAAATGTACCAACATTTCACCCTACGTATTGCTTTCAAAAACATCAGCAAACAAATCTAAGGCAATAACTTATTATACATTTTTTAGATCATCATTATGTAAGGACCAGTCAACAAGTGAATGAATTTGAGATGAAGAGTAAAGCCAGTTCTATGTAAATAACACAATTATTACCTTACCCAATTGGGAGAATCTGTATGGGGCAAGTCCCTAATAAAGGCTTTTATGTGTGTGTGTGTAATCAATTTTTTTAGTTTACTTCCAGAGAATAGAAATTCGCAAATTTTATACATTTATTAAAATTTGATGACAATTTAACGCCTTGCCAAATGCTTTATTTTTATTTACTTCTCCTGACGAAGACAAAAGATTTTTGTCGAAACGTTGAGAAAATAAAAAAAAACTCCAACTGGCCGAAGTGTCTATTTTTATATATAAATATAAATAAAATATTCCTTAAAACTTTTTTTTAATCTGTAAATTGCTTTTAACGAATACACACAAAACTTTACAATTTGATTTCATTTAACTAAATTTGCATACCAACCCTTTGTACATATTTCAATTATGTTGATATATATTTTTTATCTTTCCATCTAACTAACTTGCATGCTAATTCTGTACATATTTGAAATATCTTTCTTTTCTTTCAATTTTTTTTTGTTTTTCTTTAAAATGCAAGTGTCCCTAGGGGGACATAGAGCTCTAAGTCGAAAAAAAAAAATAATAACAATTAAAGTTGACAGATTAAAAAAAAAAAAGCTTTTGATAAATTAAGAAAAGTTGATCACGCTAAGAAGTCAAAAAAAAAAAAAACTTTCAGAAATCTTTCGTCGTCTGGAAATCTAAAATGATTAGGACAACAAGTCAGTTTGAAGAATTTATCAAGTAGGCGACATTGTTTGCTAAAGGTCATTTACAGATAACACATTTTTGACCAAACGATAAGATTCCACTATATCATCTTTTGATTAGAAAATACTTTTAAAAAAAGAATTGTTTGTTCTTTTGAATGATAAGCCAATTACTATGATACATTAGCACGCCATCTGTTATCAAAATACGAAACTATTATAAACACGTATGATTCTTTTTTAAAAATAAAATAATTTCTACTGCCCTTACTGCAATGGAAAAATTAATGGGAGGGCCTGGTTCATCAGTGGTGAACCCTCCCAGCGGTTTCGCCAGTTTAATCTACCATACCACTGTTATATTACATTTTTCGATCTTCCTTTTATAGTGATACTGATTGCTAGACTCTTGGAATGGGTATTTTAGATTAACTATGTCCATAGTTTACTTAAATACCATTTCTAAGATTCCACCCTTCAGTGTAGCATATATAAACAGAATGATCCAATACAGTATTAGAGCTCTAAATAAACGGTCTGGTAGATTGGATTGGTATTAAGTCGCTGATATTTTTGATGATGTTATGTTTCTAGAATAGGTTTGGAGAAGAGATAAGCAGAAATGGTTTGTCAGCGATTCAAGTCAGTTCAAGATAAGGATGTTGCTTGAAGTTTATATGTTAAGTTTGTAATTATTCTTAATTTTTTTTTTTTTATTCATAGAAGCATTTTTCTGGCAGACATATTTAATTTTTTATCATCATCATTTTTTATTATTATTGTTTTTTTTTTCTTAGTTAGTTATCAAATCATTTTGTAATTGTAGTTCCTATTTTGTTGTGTTCCTTTTTTAAGCAATAAAATATATAGAACTAAGATGTAATATTCAATTCAAGCATATGGAACCAACATCGATTCATTTTTTTTTTTAAACAAAGCAAAATCATAAGCTTATACAACTTTCACTTTTTCATACAGATGTGTAGCTTCAGCGTTATTTATTCCTTTTCTTACAGTTTCACTGCTCCCAGGCGCTGTTCCCCTGCCATCTCCACGTTTCTTCCATCCCTGCGAGACATATTTGCTGCCAGATCATAGGATCACTTGCCACTGGAAGTCGTGTTCTGCCATAGGGGTTAGAAGTCCATGTTCTAAATGGCCAATTAACCCGAAAGAAAGACAAGAGGCTCACAGTTTCTGGGAGATTTGACCTACAAGTCTGATGATGTATGCTCAGATGGGTGGAGAAATAGATGGTTTGTCGGTGAGGTCGAACGGCCGAAGTGATTAATTTTCCTTTTGGGATGAACTGATAGGTCTGTAGGTCTAGGGAAGGAATCAGCAAACTTTTGGATCGAAAGAGTCAAATACAATTTATAAATTTACAAAGTTTTTAAAAAGTTACAACATTTTTTTTTTTTTGTCAATGATAAATGATATTATAAAATAAATAAAGCTTCCAGGGCTAAGTTTCTTGTGCAACTTTTTATTTTCAAGTTTTCGGACTTGTCAGTCCTTTAACAGGATTATCACGTAACTTATTAATAAATACAATTTTTATATACACATTATTATATACATGTTTTAAATACTTATTATATATTGAGAGAAAAATATATTACATTATTTCTATTTGTAAAACAACTTTTTTTGAAAATATACGTGCGTGGTGGATGATATCTCGAGATTTCAAATTAAATTTAATAAATTCGTGAACTATTGTGTTATATATAGAAGATTGCCTACATAAAATATATATAAACAGTACTCACATAAAAATAATATTTACGTATGGAACTATATAAAGAGCTTTACATCTAAAGAGCTGTAAGTGGCGAGCGGCAGTTTACCGACCCCTGGTTTAGATACAGGATGTATGTGGAGTCTAACTTAGTTCTAAGGACCTCACGATGACTGAGCTGAAAATGTAACTCTAATTGCATGATCTTGGTAAATTTACCCGATTTCTTAATCCCGCTCGTAGGATATTATTAATTCGACAATAACTCTGAAAGATACACTCATGGACAAAACTTGAGGAAGTTGTACCTTTTAGCATGTATATCGGGATTCAGACAATAACTCTGAAAGATGCACTCATGGACAAAACTTAAGGAAGTTGTACCTTTTAGCATGTATATCGGGATTCAGACAATAACTCTGAAAGATACACTCATGGACAAAACTTAAGGAAGTTGTACCTTTTAGCATGTATATCGGGATTCAGACAATAACTCTGAAAGATACACTCATGGACAAAACTTGAGGAAGTTGTACCTTTTAGCATGTATATCGGGATTCAGACAATAACTCTGAAAGATGCACTCATGGACAAAACTTGAGGAAGTTGTACCTTTTAGCATGTATATCGGGATTCAGACAATAACTCTGAAAGATACACTCATGGACAAAACTTGAGGAAGTTGTACCTTTTAGCATGTATATCGGGATTCAGACAATAACTCTGAAAGATATTACAGTGACTTGTATTGAAGATATACGTCATAACCAATGTGAACAAAATTGCTCCTTTAACAAAACAGACAACCGGCGATTTTCAAAGACTTTCAACTTCCTTAAGTTTTGTCCATGACTTATAAAATATTTGTTTTTGTGATATATCTACCGCCCCACCTTCTATAGACAGGGGGAGGGGTGGTTTACTTCCCCTCAAATTTCCCAGGATCGAAGCAGGAAGTGAGGGGGGAACACCCAGTAAGGATTACCTGTCATTCTACAAACCCAATTCATGTAACAAAGAAGCGAAAGTAAAGCCCACTTTATATCAATTTGTATCTGTGAAAAATATTTATTAATCGTTGAAGTACAGTTTAACTCCGCCTTTACCGGTCCCAAGCCCGGATAAAAAAGGAGGAGGGGGAGCAGTAACAAGCTCACTAAACAACCTGGGCTCAGCTGGCCATGCTGATAGTACCCTGTAAGGTCTCCAGGTATACAGGATGAGCAGTGTTTGTACTCCATTGTTAAGAGCAGCTGTACCTGGTGTATGTTCCTCATGTCAGAGGCGGCCATTTCTTTTGGAGCTAAGTCAGTGGCCTGCTACTGAGTAGTGCTCCCAGTCTTAATGACAAAGACATTCTACTTCACCCAGTGATGATGGTTGTCAAACAGACACCATCACAACTTGTTACCCTAATATAATTGAGTGGAGATAAGAAATAATAAGAAGAAGTACAGTTTACACAGCTCGAAACGTTCATGGTTAGCTTTTCTTGATTTATCAATAAAATTGACAAAACATCAGATAACAGGTTAAATCAATTATGAAAAAGGCATCTCCTTATCGTACAACTGAAAGTTTCTGATGGCTTGCACCATCTATCGGAATAAATATCAACTATTCTCGTTGATTTTTAATTATTCCAGAATTGGCCAAATACCCATTCTTGATTACTCAAGAAAAGCTAACCACGGACGCGTTTCTCACTGTTGGCCCTCATCAGCGTGGTACAAGCTGAATCTCAACGACCAAAAAATCATGAAACGGGTAGTTAAGGCCAGAATTGTGTGAGACCGCGACACAATGTGAAAAAAAATATATTGTTTAATGTTTAAATCAATGTTTAGTTGATTTCTTCCGTTCAACTATATGGCTCTCTGCACCGAAAAAAAAAAGACCCATGGGAGAATTGAACCCACAACCTTCACTTTATTAGCAAGATGCTCTAACCAACTAAGCTAATGGAATTGATATAAATCAAGTAAAATATGAAATAAAAATAATCTACGATTGGAAAATTGAATTAAAAATAAATATTCCTACTAAAAATTCTGAAGAATAAAAATAAATGTGACATATGAAGCAAAATATAGCGAAAATTTTGGTATACAAGGTGTGTCCAATAAATAATGAGACTGGTCAAAATTAAAGAAAAAATAAAATGATTTAAAAAAAAATGTATTAGTATTTTTCAAAATAGTCCCTACCCGCATCTATACATAATTTCCATCTCTTCTCCCATGATTTAAAACATTTAGAAAAGGCATCTTTCGGGATGTTCTTCAAGACCTTTTTCGAATCCGCTATGATGGACTCTCTAGTGTCAAATCTCCTTCCTTTTAGAGCCATTTTGAGTTTTGGAAAGAGAAAAAAATCATTTGGAGCTAGGTCTAGGGAATAGGGAGGTTGTGTTGAAGTATTTGGATGCCGTGTTTAGCCAAATAAGTCAGTACAGATGTAGCGGTGTGTGGTGGTGCATTATCATGATAGATAATCCAATTTTTGGAACTCCACATTTCACTTGTATAGATTGCTATCAATAGAAAGATATATATTTGATCAAAATATCCTTTATTTTACCAATATTTCAGTTGGCTGAATGCTTTTACTGTAAATACATCACATTTCTACATATGGTACAGGCCATGATAATCCTGGTGGGTAGTTAGCGACTGATTTTACTGTAAGTACATCACATTTCTACACATGTAAAAAGCAGTTCAACTTTTGTACTAACAAATATGCCAGACTCGTTTATTTGCTTGCACTCGCTTATAGGGTTGGACTTTTGTGCAAGAATCGGTGGTCATTGGATCATTTTTTTTTTAGATATATAAAAAAAAAGTGGCCAATACGGTATCCGAACCAAGTTTATAGCTATTAAAAACCAACGGTTTAGACCATCCTTCCACCCACCCCAGTGTAAATAAGTAAGAATCCATTGATATGACGACATATATCCTGAAAGAGAGAGTGAGGAAGGAACTACGGAAGTTGAGCGACCAATCACAAGCTCGCTGACACGCCACAAAGCCCGGAAGCGTCCATTGTTATGTCAATTGAATCAAAGGCTGGGAACCAGCTCTCTCCAACTGAGCCGACAACAAGAATTGAAATTACCATCTAGTCTCTGTTACATCTAATGGTAATACCATTATACCACGGGCTTCCACTTCTTTACCATTTATTTCTTAATTAATTCAATTTATATATATATTACAATTGATTTTATTTTGTTTATATTTAATTTTTTTTTTTATCTTTTTTTAGTCGCAGTGGTACAGCCTACTCCACACTGACGAGCGCCAACAGCGAGAAACGCGTTCGTGGATGGCTTTTCTTGATTTATCAAGAAATTGGGTTGGCCAAATATCAGGGAACAGGTTGAATCAATGTTTAGTTGATTTCTGTTCCACCAGATGGCGCTCTGCCTTCTGAAAAGCACATGTGCTCCTGGTCAGGATATGCCTACTTTGTTTTTAATATTTAATTTTGTTTAGAATGTATAGCATAGATGGTTTATCGCCCAATAAGCTTGTAAGACGTCCATGGCTCACCTGAAGCACGCGACCTGCTGTATGCTTCATAACAAAAACCTCGTAAAAGATGGACGATTTGTCCATCGAAATATTGGATTAATAAAATTCATTTAATCCAAAAATATATATATATTGCTTTCCTAACAACTTCTTTTTTCATCATGATCTCATATTTTTCTTTATCTTCGTTTATTTATTTATTTATTTCAACACACAAAACGCGATATTCCGGCTAGGGATAATTGCGTCGATTTACATTTTTTTTTTTAAACGAGACAGTAACAAACATATTACCACGTAGAAAATTAGGGAAGACAAAAACTTCAGGAGGAGACAACAATTTATTTCAGGCAAGAACAAACTATGAATGGTAAACAAAAGATAAGCCACGAGGGAAATTTACAGAGTAGCAAAATATAAACATAAAAATGACCACTCTGTTAATAAAAATAATAAAATTAATAAATACTTTGTTACAATATTATACAAGAAAAAGCAAATAAAAAAGATAAACAATAATATATATTAGGAACCTGAACCTTTCAGGTTAGAAATCTTCGTTTATTTTTTTATTAACCAGACGTGTGATGTTGAAATAGTTGCGTCTATTACAATTCCGTTATACCACAGGCTTCCAATTCTTTACCAGCTTTAAAACCTCAATCGTTTTCTTAACAACTTCTTTTTCATCATGATCTCATATTTTTTTCATATCTTAATTTATTAACCAGAGGTGCGATGTTGATATATTTGCGTCTATTACAATTCCATTATAACACAACCATCTAATTCTTTACCAGCTTTAAAACCTCAATCGTTTTCTTAACAACTTATTTTTCATCATGATCTCATATTTTTTTCATATCTTAATTTATTAACCAGAGGTGCGATGTTGATATATTTGCGTCTATTACAATTCCATTGTCACACAACCATCCAATTCTTTACCAGCTTTAAAACCTCAATCGTTTTCTTAACAACTTCTTTTTCATCATGATCTCATATTTTTCCTTATCTTTGTTTTTTTATTTATTAATCAAGCAGAGGCGCGATATCGAAATATTTGCGTCTATTACAGAGGAAACAAACAAAAACAACAAACAAATTAGAACTTTGAATTGAATATTTACAAATTTACATGTTATGATGCATTTGCGCGCCATCTGTTATGAAAATTCGAAACTATTATAAGTGCGTATGATTCTTTTTAAAAATTAAACAATTTCTACTGCCCTTACTGTAATGAAAAATGAATGGGAGGGCCTGGCTCATCAATGGTGAAACCTCACAGCCCTTTTGCCAGTTTAATTTACCATACCGCTGTTATATTGCATTTTTCGATCTTCCTTTTATAGTGATATTGATGTTAGACTCTATTCATATAAAATACCCATTCCAAGAGTCTAGCAACAGTATCACTATAAAAGAAAGACGAAAAATACATTATAACATCGGTATATATGGTTTGGTAGATTAAACTGGCAAAACCGCTTGGAGGGTTCACCACTGATGAGTCAGGCCCTCACATTAATTTTTCATTGCAGTGAGGGCAGTATGATTGTTTAATTTTTTAAAAAATCATACACGTCTATAATAGTTTTAAATTCATATGTATAAATCGACAGAGTTCATAAAATTTATATAGACAAAGATGTAAGAGAGTTAAATCATTTAGATCAGGGAACAATCTCACTTCTGTAAAGTTCGGACAGACATAGATAAGGTGAAGTTTGTTCAGTTTCACCGCAGGAACAATTTGGTGTTTCTGATAGACCTCTTTTATGTAAGTATTTCTGGCCGTGTGATGTGACAAATTGAATCACTATAAAATTTGGATGGAACTGTGTAAGAATTACGTTCGGAAAAATAGCACGAATTGTATAATTAACATTATGAATGGATTGATACAAATGCTTATTGATATTAACCCCGCTTTTGCCGGTCCCAAGCACGGATGAAAAAGGAAGGAGGGGGAGCAGTAACAAGCTCACTAAACAACCTGGGTTCAGCTGGCCATGCTGATAGTACCCTGTAAGGTCTCCAGGGATACAGGATGAGCAGTGTTTGTACTCCATGTTAGGAGCGGCTGTGCATGTACCTCATGTCAGAGGCGGCCATTTCTTTTGGAGCTAAGTCAGTGGCCTGCCACTGAGTAGTGCTCCCAGTCTTAATGACAAAGGCAGACGCATTCTACTTTACCCGAGATAAGAAAGAAGTTTATTGATATTGTCGCAAGTATTTATTATTTTATTAACAGAGTATCATTTTTATGTATATATTTTGCTACTCTGTAAACTTCCCTCTTTGCTTATCTTTAGTTTATCATTCATAGTTTGTTCTTGTCCGAAATAAATTGTTGTCTCATTCCGTAGTTGGTCTTCTTTAATTTTCTACGTGGCAGTAATAATTAGAAAGCGAAACTTCTGGGTTTTATGTCACATAGCATAAATGTAAAATCAAATTTCTTCAATGTTTTCTTCCGTGAAATGTTTTGTGTGACCGGTCCTTTATTAGACATGCTTGAAAGGCTTGGGCTAGGTGCTCTATTGTGTGGTTCTTTTTCTTTGACGTTGGCTACGGTTGAGTTCTCTTCAACTGGGGCTTGTCTGAACTTTTTATATCTTCTGCTTAAAATTGATACATACGTCTCTTCTTTAAATTTCATCTTTAGATAACTTTTTATTTATTTATTTCGTCTCAGTATACAGGTGTTTCATTCGAGTTTGGGTGTCGGTGGAAGGATGGTCTAAACCGTTGGTTTTCGACCTCTACGACCCGGGATCGAATCCCGCATTGGGTCTTTTTTTCTAATTACAAGGTTGTCCCAAAAGTTCGTAAACACTTGCAAAAAATTGAAATACAAATATTATTCGCCGCTACGTATAATATCTTTATATTATGTATAAAGTAATTGTATTATGTATTATTATGTATTCGCTGTAATAATATAATTCGCCAAGTAATAAGAAAAACGCGAACTTTTGGGACAACCTTATAATTGAAAAATTTCAACATTGGCCCCCGGATTCTTGCAAAAGTCCAACCCCATCAGCAAGTGCAAGTAACTAAACGGGGCTCTGGCACATTTGTAAGTGCAAAGTCGAGCTGCTTTTCACATGTGTAGACATGTGGTGTACTTACAGTAAAAGCAGTCGCCAACTTCTACCCACTATGATTATCATGGCCTGTACCACGTGTACTAGAGGTAATAATATATGATTGTCCCAAAAGTTCGTGTTTTTATTTAAACTTTGTTTTTATTATTACTTTTTTTGGCGAATAATATTATTACGACGAATACATAATAATACATAATACAAAGATATTATACATAACAGCGAATAATAATGGTATTTCAATTTTTTAAAGCGTTTACGAACTTTTGGGACAACTTTGTAAAAATAATGAAACAAAAAAAAAAAAACGATTC